AAACGTGTCTGTCTACAATAGTAGGTTATACCTAGACGACCAAGGTGCCTGGACATGGGTTACACACTACAACTGTCCGTGGTCATGTGGGCTCCATTCTGAGAAAGCCATGCTTTGCTGGACTTTCCTGTGAAGAATGTGGTCAGTAGATATAGGGGTGTATTTTGCTGGTCAGAATGTTCCGAGTAGGGGGAAAGTATAACCTTCCGCATTCATGGTGAAGTGTAAGAATGAGTTGCGGGTGCTGTCCACACCCAATGATACCCCAGTTACCGTAGAAAGGCAGTTGTGGTGTCAGCTGAGGTCGTCTGGAAGTCCGATCTTTGTACATACATTGGTAGATACTGAATATCTCTAAGCTACCTGTATAAAAGAAGAGACATGCTGTCTCGGTGTGACAAACAATTTAGCGAAATAGTCTGTGCAAAGATTTCGAGCTATGGATTTTCGTAGTGAGTACCCTTTCTGGATTATTGCCAAAACATAATCAAGACTATATCAATATTGATATTATATTGAGCTTGTTTTTTACTGTTTTAGGTCCAGTTGAGACGCGCCACTTTCTGTTCGAATGATTGGTTTCTTATGGTTTGAGGTCCAGTTGAGACGCGCCACTTTCTAATATAATGAGTTGGTCTTTTACTGTTTTAGGTCCCGTTAAGACGCGCCACTTTCTATTATCATGAGCTTGTCTTTTACTGTTTCAGGTCCAGTTGAGACGCTCCACTTTCTATTATAACTAGTTGGTCTTTTACTGTTTCAGGTCCAGCTGAGATGCGCCACTTTCTATTAGAATGATTGGTCTCTTATGGTTTTAGGTCCAGCTGAGACGTGCCACTTTCTATCAGGATGAGTTGGTCTGTTTCTGTTTCAGGTCCAGTTGAGACGTGCGACATTCTGTAATAATGAGTTGGTCTTTTACTGTTTAAAGTCCAGTCGAGTCGCGCCACTTTCCATTAGAATGATTTGGTATTTAAATGTTTCATCTCATATTTAGACGGATCATTTAGACGACGCAGATTTATTATTCAGTACGATATTTGTTTCAATGGTATGGTTAAATTCGGCACAGCTGTAACTCTACATAATTTGTATAGTCACGGTGACTTTGAATGTAAACGTGTCTGTCTACAATAGTAGGTTATACCTAGACGACCAAGGTGCCTGGACATGGGTTACACACTACAACTGTCCGTGATCATGTGGGCTCCATTCTGAGAAAGCCATGCTTTGCTGGACTTTCCTGTGAAGAATGTGATCAGTAGATATAGGGGTGTATTTTGCTGGTCAGAATTTAGCGAAATAGTCTGTGCAAAGATTTCGAGCTATGGACCTTCGTAGTGAGTACCCTTTCTGGATTATTGCCAAAACAAAATCAAGACTATATTAATATTGATGTTATATTTCTGTTCGAATGATTGGTCTCTTATGGTTTTAGGTCTAGTTGAGACGCGCCACTTTCTAATGTTTTTCAGTTAATACGCGCTTCCTTTTTTTGTAATGATTGGTCTTTTACCGTTTAGGTCCAGTTCAGACGCGCCACTATTTGTTGTCTAATTTGGTCTTTTAATGTTTCTGGTAATGAGTTTTTGGTGCCGTCTCCACCCAATGACACCCGTCTGGAAGAATGATCTTCATGTCACATATATTGGTAGATACAGAATAGCTAGCTCCAAGCTACAGGTATAAAGAATAGAATCTTTCAGTGTTTCAGATCCATTTAAGAAACGATCTGCGCATAACTACTAAACAATTATTGCGAAAACAAAATTAAGACTATATTAAAATGCACCACCTCCTATAATCTTACGTTGGCCTTAGATGTTTCAGATCCAGTTGAGTTGTGCAAAATCCATTTATTAAGAGTTAATGTTAATATTAACCTCAAGTTGAGACGCACCATCGCCTACAACAATGAGTCTTTTAATATTTTAGCTCCAGTTGCGACATGGGCAATTCTATTATTATACGCCTGTCCAAAAAGGGCGGGGATTTATAGTTATACAAAGGAATTTCGTCGGTCTGTCCTTCTGAGGACGTTGTTTGTGCGACCTATAACGTGAACACTACTGAATAGAGTATTTTCAAACATGGGGAAAAGCTTCTATACCAATAGGAGGGGTGAGGTGTGAAGTTTGATTTTGATATTTGGATTTTCTGCAAATCTATAGCTATATTGTGTTTCATTAAGACGAAAATCATTATAAAATGGCCATTTTTGTAGAAAATGCTTTTCGTCTCCGACACAATTAGTACATAATTTACAAAATCCTTCTGTTGGAGGAGTAGGGATCGTCGGAAGTGTATCGGGTGGTCACCCTTGGTGACTTGGATGATTGTGTGTCTTCTCAGCGCGATGGCAATAGACTGCCAACTACTGGTTTATCTGACCCAGACTCGAACATGTGATAACGCTGGAATGTAGCTGATTTCTGCAAATCATGAACTATGAACATCAGAGGTAAGGGACATGAAGTATGAGTTGAGTTTGGTTTAACGCCGCTTTTAACAGTATATCAGTCATATCACGGTGTGTCAGCTTAATGAGGGAGGAAAGCCCGAAGTGATGCAGGTCTGAGACGTTCACCGCTTTGGTGAAACCCACGAGCACGGGTATGGTGCTGACAAACCTAGAAACATAATCGGGGCGAACCGAGATTCCAACCCACAATCATAGATTTTTGGCGTGCCCAAGGGACGCAACTCTGCACAGCGAATCGCGGCCCCTCATGAAGTATGAAGTCGCGCCCAAGATTATTGCATGTATATAGCGACGTGTGTGTGCGTGCGTGCGTGTGTACATCCATGCATGCGTGCGGGCTTGCTTGCTTGTTCTATTTCAAACTTTTGCCGGTTTAATAGTGCTAGCCCAATGTGATACCACAGTGCAGATTGACATGGATTTCCCATCAAAATGCTGTCTATAACGTCTTGCGCTATGAACAACTCAGCTTCCACTCATGACTATCTGACATTATCAGATCACTGACCAGGATATGAACAATGTTGGCTTCCATTGTTCCTTAAAACAGTCTCACAGAGGCAAAATAGTTGTTAAAATAGTTTTATTATCACAGCAGGCTTGAATCAGTGACGTATAGCACACTCGTTATGATACGCAATATTTACTGATTAATAGTTTTAACAATTGATACATAACGTTGACACATTAACTTGACAGTTGAAATTTCAAGTTATAAAGATCAATAAAATGACTATCATAGCCTAACGCAAACTATATCAACGTGTATTTGGTACAAATTAAAACACATCTAAGAGATAAACATATTCGTAAAAAATAAAAACACAGAATAGAGTCAAACACATCATGAATTCAACATGGTCAACAACCTACATTTGAAAAGATAAATATATCACAATGTGTACTACGTTAAAATACACCGACGAGCAAACAATACTGTACCAAGGTCAGATTTATAAGAATGTGGATAAGAACACGAAATAATGTTCTTTAAGCACGCACAACCGATAGTAAAATAAAACAACAGACACGGGTGCGACTCAAAGCATGTACAACCGATAGTCCAAAGAAAACAGACATGGGTGCGACTGAAAATGTTGCTTTAGTTCATCGTATTCCGTGAAAATTACCAAATTTGAAAATGCACGTGCATCACGATGACATGATGAATATAGATACAATTCAAGACGTCAACGCACGAGAATAGTCTCGACTCTCTGCCGAAACCGATTCCATTGCGACCCGTGAAGGTCTTCAGCAACCCATGCTTGCCGTAAAAGGTGACTATGCTTGTCGTAAGAGGCTACTAACGGGATCGGGTGGTCAGGCTCGGTGACTTGGTTGATGCATGTCATCGTATTCCAATTGTGTTGATCGATTCTCATGATGTCAGTCACTGGATGGTTTTCAAGACTCGATTATTTACAAAGCACCATCATATAGCTGGAATATTGCTGAGTGCGGCGTTAAACAACAGATAAAGAAGAAAAATGATATGCTGCATTTGGGAGTTGGACATGACACCGTTGCCAGGCTGGTCAAACTATCACCAGGGTGGTGTCATGATCCCGGCAGATAGTGGAAAGAAAGACTCAGGACTAGCCGACCACGAGTCACCCCACACAACAAAGATCGCTACCTGCGTATTCATCATGTGATAAACTGTAAATCGATTTAAAAATTACAGAACAAAACTGGAATATGAGGACGAATATAATACCTTGGAATAATATTTCATAGACTCAATATATTTACAAATGCACGAAATTCACTGGTAGAAGAAGCAGCTCAATCGGTCTATTTTATACATGTGAGGGCTGGGGCGAGTCAAAATTTACTTCCCGGGTACCCACCCCGCTATTACCCGACCCTACCCGTGTACCCACTGTAGGTCTCAAGAGTTGGGTACAAAAAGTCTGATTGGGAATAGTTTGAGCCTTGGCAAAATGTTTTTAGATACACGTATAAAACGTTCTGGTCATGCATATACTGAAGTTGACTGAAGTTTTATTTTTATTCAAATGTATAAAAGTCAGAAGAAATATGTACATGGTCAGAAAAACATAATACGAACATTAGTGACTTGTAATGTAACCATAGAATTTTAGATAATTTTTGTCGTAAAACAAAATATCACGTGACAAACCACGGGTCCGGATAGTCCTGTGGGTAACCGGGTCCTTCTCTGTATCCTCCCGACCCGAGTACCCGACTTACCCGTCCCAGCCCTAATACCAGTATTAGGAAGGCGAAGTGACAACTTATCAGTACCATCACAACCTAAATTCTCTGATGCTATTGTACTCCCAATACTGTTACAGGGTTGCGAGGTGTGTATATTTTCAAGATATTATGCAAATATAAAATTGATAATTGCCTCTTAAGAAAGAAAGTACACCAACCTACATGGTTTAAGGTGAATTAGGCAGGATTGAGTGATTGAGTGAGTATGGTTTTACGCCGCTTTTAGCAATATTCCAGCAATATCACGGCGGGGGACACCAGAAATGAGCTTCACTCTTTAAAAGCTAAAAGTTCGGGAGTTTTAAAACAGAATGGATTCCAGAACCATACTTCACTAAGCTCCTGAAACAACAGTTGTTAAAATTTATATTATCTCAGTTTCGCACTGTTACTCATCGTCTTCCAGTAGAAGTCGGGCGATAAACAATACTCCCTTTATAGAAGGAAAATGTAACCTTTGTCAGTCTAACCGCATTGGTGATGATTTCTTTGTATTATCATCATGTAAATGTCTTAAAGAGAGCTAAGAAGTAATTATGTAGACAATATACATTATATGCCTGTATATTGTTGTAACATGCATAGTATATTTACAATGACTACGAGCTATTTGAGCTATATGAACTATATGAACTATAAGAAAACATGTATCGGTTGTCTTTAAGACACACATAATTTTTGAGACAAACAATTACTAGTATATTCGGAACCCACAACCCAATTTTCTTTAGGACATGTTGTGATTTCTGTGTGTTCAACCGTAGGCTAACCTATTGCTACCAGTATTTTCTGGAACAAGTAATCAACACCATCCTTCCCACACCAAATGAGGCAACACATTATTCATTTCAACCGCACCGGTTTTAGATCTCACAAGCAAAACTCTTCTCTGAGTTCGACCGCCTCCGTGGTCTTGTGGTAGAGCGTCCGCCCGGAGAGCGGAAGGTCCAGGGTTCGATCCCGGGCCGCGTCATACAAAAAGACGTTAAAAGATTGTACTTGTTGTTACCCTGTCTGGCGCTCGGCATTAAGGGGCTAAAACAAGGACTGGTCGGCTCGGAGTCAGTATACTGTGTCTGAGTGAGGTATTCATGTTAAACTGCGGCATGGTATCTCAGTGAGCTAGCACTATAAATCGGCATCAGTCCGGACTAGTACAAGCAGCCACACACACACATACACGTGCATGCACGTCGCTATATAAGTGCAATAATCTTGGACGCGACGTTAAACCCAATTTCACCTCACCTCACCTTTCAAGGAAACTTCTCCAATGACTTCTAGACCAACGTCAACTGAAGGTCAGCGTCCCAGAGCTTCCTGAATCACACCACGTAACCTTGAATTGATGTCCTCATCCTTGACTTCATCCAAGGTCATCTTCACGGTAAATTGCTCATTGTCGTGGACGCCAAACAACGGGAGTAGATGGCTGTATTTGGCACCGACATGTATTGTTGTGAGTATCTTCTCCTTGTTGACGTCAATGAACGCCACCTTCCCTCTCACGACATCATACACGACGCCATACGTCAACATGGAAACCCCAGCACGGTTGTGGAACGGATTGTCCAAACAAAAACATTGCTTGGTACAAATCAGTTCATCAAAGTCACAGTAACCTACGATAAGCACAGGCCTATCGGTGTACTCTTCTGAAAAGCGAAACGAACGATTATCCGCTTTCCTTGGTTCGCAAAGTCCGATTTCGAAGATCAGCTTTCTTGTAATTTTCCCCTTTTGTCGTATTTTGACATGAACCTGGTAGTAGTATGGATCTGTAGGGTCTGGCCGGGCATACTGGGAAGCGTGGGTGAGCCGACATGGACCGGAAGTAGGAGCTGGTAACGAGGCCATCTGATAAGGAAAAGTCATTGTGCCGCATGTGCCTCTGTATTTGTTGAATTTTCTTTTACCAGGTTTGTCATCTGGATTTGGACGGTTGACCATGGATCTCTCTGATACTTCTACAAAATCGGTGTTTGCACGTCCTGTATCGAACTCGAGTGGGGGGCCTGAAAGTGTACCGGAAAATAGGTAACGTATATACAGTCAAACCTCGTTGTCTCGAACTCGGTTGTGTCAAATCCCCGGTTTTGTGTTGAAGTCACAGTCAGGTCCCGGCAAAGCTTACCATATTTATCAGTATTTTAATCCGATTGTGTGGAATGCAAACACACCCCACACACAAACACCACACAGATACAAACGCGCACACCACAAACACAGATACACACACACACACACACACACACGCACACACGCGCACACGCGCACACCGCAAACACAGATACACACACACGCGCACGACGCAAACACAGATACACACACACAGACACCTCATACATACAAATGCGCACACCGCAAACACAGATACACTACACACACACACACACACACCACACACATACAAATGCGCACACCACAAACACAGATACACACACACACACACACACAAACACCACATACATACAAACGCGCACACCGCAAACACAGATACACTACAAACACACACCACACACAAACACCCCACATATATACAGACGCGCACACCACAAACACAGATACACACACACACACACACACACACACAACCACCACATACATACAAATGCGCACACCACACACAAACACCCCACATATATACAAACGCGCACACCACAAACACAGATACACACACACACACACACACAAACACCACATACATACAAATGTGCACACCACACACAAACACCCCACATATATACAGACGCGCACACCACAAACACAGATACACACACACACACACACACACACACACACACAAAAACCACATACATACACATGCGCACACCACACACAAACACCCCACATATAAAAACGCGCACACCACAAACACAGATACACACACACACACACACAAACACACACAAACACCACACATATACGAACGCCCACACCACAAACACAGATGCACTGCAAACACACACCACACATATACGAACGTGCACACCACAATCACAGATACACTGCAAACACACACCACACACAAACACCACACATATACAAACGCGCACACCACAACCTCAGATACACACACACACACACACACACACACACACACACCACACATATACAAACGCGCACACCACAAACACAGATACACTGCAAACACACACCACACATATACAAACGCACACACCACAAACACAGATACACTGCAAACACACACCACACAAATACAAACACCAAACAAATAAAAACGCGCACACCACAAACACAGATAAACTGCAAACACACATCACACGTATATATGAACACCACATTCACGCACACCATATCATATCATACATCACACGCAATGATACACACATGGACACAACATACACGTCTTGACAAAAAAAATTGCCCCCCCCCCCCCGCACACACACACACACCAAACGACACAAACAGAGATACACTGTACACACACACAGCACACAAATAACAAACACACAAACAAAACACCCCACCCAGGCATGCACGCATACAGACACACACACTGAGATATATATGTAAATGATTCTCATCACAAACAGGGGTCGGACTTACAGTTGAGCTTGAGAGGCACGCCTGTTGGGTACTGCTCACTGACAAGGGACAGATCACCAGAGACTCTCACACCTTAAACAGGAACAAAACATGTCCTATATTACGTAACTGGTGCTGTTCCTTGTTACGCAACGGATGGACATATTAATGTGAATAAGTTACATTTAATTGCCATATGTCTCTACCCTTTAACGAATTGTTGCAACTTTATTAAAAAAAAATTATATATTTTTTACCTTACATATTTATTGTTTTCATAATTAATTTCAAGAAGCCGTATCCGTATCATCAGTATACTCTGCCAAAAAAGAAACGCAAAGTTGTTTTAGATGTATATTTTATGTGATGGTAATGGATTGTTCAGAATTGGCACAGATCCTTCTCATTGTTTTTTGTTTGTTTGTTTGTTTATTTGTTTATTTGTTGTTTAACGCCTCTGTCAGCAATATTCCAGCGGTATGACGGCGGCCTGTAAATTTGTAATCGAGTTTGGATCAGACAATCCAGTGATTGACATCATGATCATCGATCCACGCAATTGGGACACGATGGCATGCTACAACCAAGTCAGCGAGCGTGACCACCCGATCTCGTTAGTCGCCTCTCACGACAAGCATAGTCGCCTTTTCCGGCAAGCATGGGTGGGTTCCTGAAGATCTATTCTATCCCGGACCTTCACGGGTCTCGTTCTCATTGACTCAGGTTCCATATGACACACATGGAACAGTAGTTTTTCAAGGTGAAAGTCATCTGTGCTCAATATCTTATTTTGCCACCTTTAGAGTGCAAAACTGACTGACATCGTCGTCCCATGGAAGCAGCCAGATCCCGAATTGTGGCCTGGGGAATGTTCACCATTTCTCCCTGCAGTGCTTGTGGCAACTGTTTGAGGTTCTGTGGTTATCACTGACGTGCTCGCAGTCGTTGATCCAGTGCATTCAATAAATGTTCGATTTGGTTTTATATCCCGAGACCTGTTGGCCATGATGTTGTGATTCCTCAAAAAGGCTGTTGTCAGTCTTGCCTTGTCAGGTCGGGCGTTGTCTTGTTGGAAAATGGCGTTCACTTGTTGCATAAAGGGAAGGACGCGTGGCCGAAAAATCTCACCTGTGTAACGCTGTGCCGTTAAATTCCCTTCGTTCACCATGTCTTTTCTACCAGTGTAGGCGATGGCTGCCCACATCATCACACTGCCACCGCCAAACTCATGTTTCATCACGAAGCCAAACTTGCTCCGTCGCAGTTATGACCATACTCTGTGACCTTGACACGATTGATGTCGCAGCCGACGATACAGATCTGTCAAATGTGACCCCTCGAACTGGTCTTCTAGCACGAATACCTTCAGGGGGTAAACGGGTTCTCACTGTCTGGGCTGGTATCCAACGTAAAATCCTGGTATTGCCGTAGTTGTATAGGTGGTCGTGGTGGTTCTTCACGTAAGTCACCTAGCTGTATGACTCTGCCCTGTGCTCTGGTAGTGATACGTGGTCGACCGAATGTGGGGAGGTCACGTGATGTCCCGTGTGTGTGATAACGGTTTCACAGTCTTGTAATGGTGCTTGGTGCTATGTGGAAACACCTGGTTACGGACCGCCTCCGTGGTCTTGTGGTAGAGCGTCCGCCCGGAGAGCGGAAGGTCCAGGGTTCGATCCCGGGCCGCGTCATACAAAAAGACGTTAAAAGATTGTACTTGTTGTTACCCTGTCTGGCGCTCGGCATTAAGGGGCTAAAACAAGGACTGGTCGGCTCGGAGTCAATATACTGTGTCTGAGTGGGGTATTCATGTTAAACTGCGGCATGGTATCTCAGTGAGCTAGCACTATAAATCGGCATCGGTCCGGACTAGTACAAGCAGCCACACACACACATACACGTGCATGCACGTCGCTATATAAGTGCAATAATCTTGGACGCGACGTTAAACCCAATTTCACCTCACCTGGTTACGGCTGAGGAGGATTCGCCTATATGCAGTCGGCCGATGGCCAGTCGTGGCATGTTTTCGCTGTTCACTTGCTGTAAGATTGTGATGGCATACACATGAAAACCAAACATGTGATTCGGCACCAGGCTGTCACGTGGTTGTGTTGTACGATTTTCCCTCTTTTCACCAAATTTCTGCAGTACCTCTTTTTTCCCACACAAATCAACCCCAATCCATGCAAAAATGACAAATTAATTTTTGGCATTAAGTTTGTATGGATATCGGGAACACTCTCCAATATCTACTATTTTACTACTTTCGTGTTTCTTAATTTTGCAGAGTATACATTGCAGGTGGACCAATTAAAACCATGTTGAAAGTTAAACATCTTGAAATACTGGTTAACAACATGATGAATACATAGTTAAGGAAGTGACACCAAAGAGAGGTGTGATAGGGTGAATTTCTTTGTGGTATCATGAGATGAAGACATTAACAATGATGACTAGACAGAGTGAGTTGGGTTTAAAGCCACTGCGACAATATGTCTGAGGAAAGCCTGACGTGATACGTTTCTTAGATGTTTACCACTTTGGATGAAATCCATTGAAATCCATCATGTATGCTGATAAACCTAGAAACTTCATCCAGGCTCATGTATGTGATAAAAATGTGATAAGGTGCATTTCTTACTCTTGGTAGCATTGGGGCAGATAGATAGACAGATAGATTGATAGATAGATAGATAGATGGATGGATGGATGGATGGATACAAACCTAACTGCTGTGCTAGTTTTTGAAACTTCTCCATTGATGTTTGTTGTCTCTTCACTTTCTAAATAAAAGTTCATAAAAGAAGTTCATATCAAGATAGCTCCACAATAGATACTGTATTGAACTTTATGATGCGATCAATCTACATGTAGGATGGTTTTCATAATTCAGTCGTTCAAGGGCTTAAAAAGTATATGTAAAACAGCTGCAGAATTGTGACCATCAAACTAAATAAATCCAATCCAATTTATTGTTGTCCTTTTAGCTTTAAGGTAATTCTAAAACATAGTTCCCACCTAGAAGAAAGAGCATAACTGTCACCTTATACTTACATTGGGGGCGGTCGGGTAGCCTAGTGGTTAAAGCGTTCGCTCGTCACGCCGAAGACCCGGGTTCGATTCCCGACATGGGTACAATGTGTGAAGCCCATTTCTGGTGTCCCCCTCCGTGATATTGCTGGAATATTGCTAAAAGCGGCGTGAAACCGTACTCACTCACTCACTTTACTTACATTGCTCTCCTCAGCAAACTGTCTGTGCACCATGTCTGAAATAAAACCAGGTGAATCCGTCACTGACACATGCTTGGATGAGAAGATGAAGGTTGAAGACAAGAGATCACGTATTTTGTAAATGAATACATCTAAATGATCACTGTGGGGGGCCCATGTCGATATCCAACGCTTGTGACCTCATCTTTGCACAACAGACGTAGTAATGAAAAGTTCTGTTATTCAGTTCGTTAAGTGCCATGACGAACTTCTTTGTTGTGCTGGTGTATTCCAAATAGACCCTCATTCATGTTGTGTTCGCGTGGATTACGCGGGGATCACATATATTGTAGAACACGTACTGAAGGTCCTACACTGATCCACTGACTACAAAGGACAGCGCACCTGAAACACCTGACAAGTTCAGCTTTCTGGTGGTCCCCGCTGGAATATTACTAAAAGAGGCGTAAAACCATTCACATGCCCGCCTCGTGGTCTAGTGGATAGAAAGTCTGCCAGGAGAGCGGAAGGTCGGGGCTTCGATCCCCAGCCACGTCATACCAAGAGTCGTTAAAGGATGGTATTTTAGGAGCCCAAATAAGGACTGGTCGGCTCGGGGTCAGTATACTATTACATATGGTGTCTTTAGTTGCCGTATACGGTGTCATATTAGGTTAGCCGAGCCCTATATTTTTCTGCTAACTTAATATGACACCGTATATACCACAACTAAAGACACCATAACAAATTTATTATGCCGAAAATTTTACACTCTCTGGTATCCATATCGCACGTATCATGTCAAAATGAAAACTTGACACTTACAACCGTACGTTGACGTGAATGGTCAAAGGGAGACTACTCTTCAAACCTTAGAGGCCAAACCGTGTTCATAATTTTTACTGTAATCTTTATCAATAAAGTCACGAACGTGATCTCAAAAACAGATTAATGTCCTTGCACATCACAATTAATGATACTAAAAAAACAAAAACAGTGTCAAATAACGAATTTCGGTACCAGAATGAAAATGTGAAATATGTGAGGTGGGTGTTTGAAAACCCAAAATGGCTGTTACTGACTGTGTACGGTCTCATATTAGGTCAGTATCAACCATCGTGGATTTTTACTGACGATATACGGACTCATGAGGGGTCAGTAGATCTGCACTCTGATTGGTCAATCTCACGTTGAGGCATAATAATGTGTCTGATTGGGGTATTCATATCAACTTTCACTTGGCCTTTAGTCCTTCATCTCTTCTGAGTAATTCAACGCCACAGAATAATCAATATGTATCAAGGTCTTCTAGGGTGAGGTGCAAGGATTTCTGCAATTTTTTAGGCTATCTCTGAATTCTGGATTGGAATCCAGGGACTAGATCCCATTGAAAGCTTTGGAGTTTAACTTCAGAGTTGCCAAGGGTAACAAAGGAGCGATAGATGTCCGCATCCATTCAAACAACGTGGCGAACTCTGGATAGATTGTTCTCTGTCCAAGGACTTCCTATGTTGGACGTGTGAGTGAGCAGGTTGGGTCTAACACCACTTGAACAGTACTTTTTAACCCTACTAAACTACCAACTCAATTAATAGATAATGCAAATTGAAGTTTCTCGAATACCTGGTGTCAGTACTAATTTTCAGTGGTCCATTCATATAATTTTCACAGCCTTTTTGCCCTTTTACACTAAATGGAATCTGTTTGGGTTTTAATCTAGACAAGTTATTCTCCTGCACTGAAATTTTTTATTTTAACAGACAAGTGACGATCCAAGCAGCTCCTTACACAATCTAACTCTGATACCCATGGAGGTGGCAAGTTGCGGAAGACATGACAGACAAATCGATCGGCCTTCAGTTGACAAAGAAACAATACACCGTTTTGCTGCATACAATGTCATCTACAGAAGGCACAACGTCCAATGTATTGCACCGGTGCAGACCGATGTGTAACCCTGATAATGAATTTATTGCCTTTTGATACACTAGCATCAGCTGATCCCTAAGGTTTCCATAATATAAAAATAGTTCTTATTATTTAACAAAATAAAAATATACCCTAATCATCTGACAGAGCATACTGTTACCTTTCTGTCGAGTCAGCTCCTTGATATTTTCCTCTTTGCTCTTTAGTTCGTGTCTTAACATTTCTTCTTTCTGAAGTGGAGAAATGTTTAGAGCTTGTGTCAGTCGTTTACAAGCACAACTAAAAAATATAAAAAAACATATATATTGAAGAAAACCAAAAACGTTTTGAACTGAAAAACATGCCGTAAGTGTAGTTCAGATTTAGATAAATAGAAAAACTGTCGTACATTTAGACTGAAGAAATGGTATTGGATCATACACCTTTGGCATCAAGCATAGTATACGAAATGCTTATGTTACAAGAAATACATGAAGTTGGTGAGTGTTCCTCAGGCTGATTCGGTTAGACGTATGGCTTGTTTCCTACAATTTATGGGATGCATGTCATTGTAGAATTAAAAATATGTCACCAAAATCACAAAATAAAACATTAATATTTAGCAAAGGAAATAGATAAGTGAGTGAGTGAATTTGGTTTTACACCGCTTTTAGCAATATTCCAGCAATATCATGGCGGGGAAAGAGATAAGAAAAATGACACAGGAAAATAGTTACCGCCGCAGCTGCTCTTTCAAGCTCAACTTTACTTTTCTCAAGCTCCTCAAATTTGACTTTCAGGGTCTCATAATTTGACATCACTGGATATGAAAATACATCTTATTAACACATGCATACATAGTCTTGTAACATTTACAGGGTACTGTGGATGATGACCTCTTGTGGGTCGCTTAAATATTGAGAGCGAAATCTGGCCCATTTTAAAAATGAATTAAGCTTCCCTTAGGTTAATATGGATGATGATCTCATCAATATCTCATCAGTTAGCAGGAAAACAGCTTACTATCAGGGTAACTCAGACTCACCAGGATCGTCCCGTTGATGGCTGTCATGAGATTCCTGGTCCTTCACTCAAGACTTACCTTGATTATCCTGTTGCTCGTTGGCCTGGGATTCCTGGTCCGGTGATGTAAAGAAGCATCCAAAGGAGGCAATGTTAGTCTTGAGACCCTGGAGACCCTGTCTGGAGAACGCAACACCTGCTGCTGCTTCCTGCTGCTTCACGGCAGACACGTGCTCAGAGAGACAGGCGTCCACGCTCTGCATCATGGTGTCCTGGAGTTCCAGGTACTCTAGTGGTGTCAAGGTCAAGGCCTTCTCTATGTAGGTCAGGGAGGTGTTCAGGGACATCTGGGACGTCTCCAGTTCTTGCTGCTTCTCCCTGGCTCCATCTCTGATGTGCTCAAAGCAGGTGCTCAGGTCAAGGTCAAGTTCCTTCTCTCTCTGGTCGACAAGAGACTTCAGTTCAGACATTGTGTGAACCTTCAACGTTTGCAGGGAACTGCATTTGTCATCAACCTTTTCTTCAATGCTGTTCATCTGTAGAATCGATTCAGTTAAGGATTCGTGATGGATCAACAATTGATTGTGTTTCGTTTTCATTTCAAGTTGCTTGGATTGAAATGCTTCGTCGACTTCTTGAACGTCATGACCAGCATGATCGTCACGTGTACACCTCAAACATATCAGAACTCCACATGTCGCATCATAGACGTCAACAGGCCTTTGGTGTGTGGAGCAAACAGCATCCTTGGCTTCTATGGAGACTCCATCTTGTGCCACTTGGTCGATTGTCTGAACTGTGTGACCTCTTGTCATTTTGATATCACTGTGAGCCACTTGACAGTTTTCACACAACATAGCCTCGCACTGTTTACACCACACGACAGCCTGTCCGCCATCTTGTTTGTTAGTGCATTGCAACTCGGATGGACGATGAAGGACAGTCAGATTGAAGATCTCTCTTGCCCTGACTTTGTCCTCTGGGAACTTGTGTTCTTCTCTGTCAAATTCTTTGTGACAAGACGAGCATTTCAACGTCCCTGTCTCAGCAGCAGAAAGACAGACCTTGCATACAGCATGTAGACATGGCAGCAACCAGGGAGGTGGTCCTTGGTAGCAAAACTGTTGCTTGCAAATGCTGCACTTGGGGAACTTTTCCATATCTTTTATTGTAAACTCTAGAAGGTGGAAACATAATATATAGTCTCAGTAGGGAGCTTCTTCTTTGATGATGACTTGTTGGAACCAACAGGATCTGAATACTTTTTAGTGTTTGTACCTGTTCGTATACACACATATAGCAACATACAGCATTATATAAGTTGATTGGAAAAGCAGTAACAGATATGTTACAGCAAGAATGCAACATAACAATATAAATGTGAAAGATCCATGTGGGCCTAGACAACTTTCCTGATGCCCAAAGTTTTATCTGACGTTCTTCCCGGTTGACTACCACACATTACTTAATGGTGACCATAACTGCCCATCTACCAGTCCCCTTTTCCATTTATGGATCACACAGGGAGCACAGTCTCCAAGCGCTCGCCAATACACCTGCCTCAGAATCCCAACAGGGACTACCAGCGATATACACTCCATGTCAGAAGGTATTTAACACTGTATCGTGATAGTACCGTGAAGGTATGGGAAAAGAGGCGAGAAAAAATCATGTAAAATGGCGCATTAGTTGCGCTTTAGTGACACGATCATGATGTAATAGTGGTGTTATATTGTACCAAATTGGCACACACATGATAACAAATAGAGGTGAAGGTAACCAATGAGGTGACTAACATACTTCAGGCCATCATCGTTAGCTCGTCATGCCGAAGACCCGGGTTCGATTTCGACATGGATACAATGTGTAAAGCCCATTTCTGGTGTTCTCCCGCCGTGATATTGCTGGAATATTGCTAAAAGTGGTGTAAAACCATACTCACTCACTCACTCACTCATGAATACAGCTGGCAGGATTATGTTCACAGCTTGATCATGTCTCTCAACATTTAACGGAGCCCCACTGGCTGCTTATTGCCACACCAGTCAACTAAACGTTCCTCTTCAATGCCTACAACCTTGCACCTGCCTACATCAGTCAACTCTTAATCTCCTAAACGAACTCGCCAATCTCATCAACAACATCTATTCATAGTTCCCCTGGTTAGACCTTGTACTTGTACTGTGGACCAATCTGCCGGAAAATCTGAACCCTACTACCACTATATATCCACTTCAAGTCTCTGCTTAAGGCATTTCTGTGTCAACAGACTTACAGTAGCTAAAGGGCAGAGAGCGTATACATTTGTGAATTGTTGCACTCTATAAATACATATCTTATTAATATTATTTACATAGTAGAATGTAAAATGAAGCAGAGAAGGTTTGGGTGATCCTGGCACATATAGGGTGGCATCTTGATAAATATTGCCATACATGACGATTCAATGATGGCCATCACATACGTGTATTTAATCAATTTTAAGACCCTTATGGGAGCATTGTCTAGGGCGGGTAGGTCCAGTATCCCCATCATTTATACTACTTCTCCTCGCAGATCGTCTGCAGGTGTCCAGGTGATGTGCTATCCCCAAATAGAGAACTGAACACTACCTTCCAAATATTTAGTACGGTAATTCTATCAGTATAGAAAATATTATCAACTTCCCAGTGAATGCTGCCTTGTCTGTCGCTTGCTATTCACAACTTAAACACTAGGGAAAAGACACTATTTGTAAAACAAGCTAAAATTCAAGATTAGAAGATAGCATGAAGAAAGGTTATTTTCCCTAAAATCTACCGCTCAGTGCATGCAAATCAAGGGCTAATATATATGTTTTCAATAGACCCTAAGGACGATGAAGAAATATATGAATACCTCTGCAGAATAAAATAGTCATTGCCAAGGGTACTCATGTCAAGAAAAGTCAAATAACAATTCGTTTAACTGAATGGCTGATGAATCACTGCCCCAGACTCCCCTGAAGAGATAGACACGGCGTACATGAGACTATTGCACCGGCAGTGAATCATGACTCCCTTGAAAAGACAGACATGGCGTACATGAGACTATTGGACAGGCAATGAATCATGACTCCCCTGAAGAGATAGACATGGCTTACATGAGACTATTGGACCGGCAATGAATCATGACTCCCCTGAAGAGATAGACATGGCTTACATGAGACTATTGGACTGGCATTGAATCATGACTCCCCTGAAAAAACAGACATGGCGTACCTGAGACTATTGGACCGGCAAGGAATCATGACTCCCCTGAAGAGATAGACATGACGTACATGAGACTATTGGACCGGCAGTGAATCATGACTCCCCTGAAAAAACAGACATGGCGTACATGAGATTATTGGACCGGCAAGGAATCATGACTCCCCTGAAGAGACAGACACGACGTACATGAGACTATTGGACCGGCAGTGAATCATGACTCCCCTGAAAAGACAGACATGGCTTACATGAGACTATTGGACCGGCAAGGAATCATGACTCCCCTGAAGAGATAGACATGGCTTACATGAGACTATTGGACCGGCAATGAATCATGACTCCCCTGAAGAGATAGACATGGCTTACATGAGACTATTGGACTGGCATTGAATCATGACTCCCCTGAAAAAACAGACGTGGCGTACCTGAGACTATTGGACCGGCAAGGAATCATGACTCCCCTGAAGAGACAGACACGACGTACATGAGACTATTGGACCGGCAGTGAATCATGACTCCCCTGAAAAGACAGACATGGCTTACATGAGACTATTGGACCGGCAAGGAATCATGACTCCCCTGAAGAGACAGACACGACGTACATGAGACTATTGGACCGGCAGTGAATCATGACTCCCCTGAAGAGATAGACATGGCTTACATGAGACTATTGGACCGGCAGTGAATCATGACTCCCCTGAAAAGACAGACATGGCTTACATGAGACTATTGGACCGGCAATGAATCATGACTCCCCTGAAGAGATAGACATGGCTTACATGAGACTATTGGACTGGCATTGAATCATGACTCCCCTGAAAAAACAGACATGGCGTACCTGAGACTATTGGACCGGCAAGGAATCATGACTCCCCTGAAGAGATAGACATGACGTACATGAGACTATTGGACCGGCAGTGAATCATGACTCCCCTGAAAAGACAGACATGGCTTACATGAGACTATTGGACCGGGAAGGAATCATGACTCCCCTGAAAAAACAGACATGGCGTACATGAGACTATTGGACCGGCAAGGAATCATGACTCCCCTGAAGAGACAGACATGACGTACATGAGACTATTGGACCGGCAAGGAATCATGACTCCCCTGAAAAGACAGACATGGCGTACATGGGACTATTGGACCGGCAAGTGAATCACGACAGACATACCTACCAGTTTCCTTGTAAACTGTACAAAGATGGTGTGTTTAGTTGATAGCTGTGGTTAGATTGTGCCAGCACTGAAAAGACGGCCCTATGTCCTCTGGTTGTAGATGAACGTTGATCGATACAGAGACATGCTTCATGACAGTGCAAGTGACACCAGCTTATGTGGTGGTAGCACAAGGGCCATGCTGAGGTCAATGTGACCTAAAGTTATAAACCTGTTCCCCTGCTTGAAAGCTCAGCTGAGACCGATTCTGCATATATCTCTTCAGGGGAGTCATGATTCCTTGCCGGTCCAATAGTCTCAGGTACGCCATGTCTGTTTTTTCAGGGGAGTCATGATTCCTTCCCGGTCCAATAGTCTCATGTAAGCCATGTAAGCCACTCTGCCACAGAATAACAACATGGAGACAATCATGGGGCGTTGGGGAAGATCTCTGCGACAGAATCACAAAATGGAGACAATCATGGGGCGTTGGGGAATAATTCTGCCACAGCATCACAACATGGAGACAATCACGGGGCGTTGGGGAATAACTCGGCCACAGAATCACGACATTGAGACAATCACGGGGCGTTGGTGAATAACTCTGCCACAGAATCACATCAGGGAGACAAAAGCTTGGGGCGTTGGTGAGTAACTCGGCCACAGAATCACGACATTGAGACAATCATGGGGCGTTGGTGAATAACTCTGCCACAGAATCACAACAGGGAGACAATCATGGGGCGTTGGTGAATAACTCTGCCACAGAATCACATCAGGGAGACAATCATTGGGCGTTGGTGAATAACTCTGCCACAGCATCACAACAGGGAGACAATCATTGGGCGTTGGTGAATAACTCTGCCACATAATCTCATCAGGGAGACAATCATTGGGCGTTGGTGAATAACTCTGCCACAGAATCACAACAGGGAGACAATCGTGGGGCGTTGGGGAATAACTCTTCCACAGAATCACAACAGGGAGACAATCATTGGGCGTTGGGGAATAACTCTGCCACAGAATCACAACATGGGGACAATCATTGGGCGTTGGGGAATAACTCTTCCACAGAATCAAAACAGGGGAACAATCATGGGGCTTTGGTGAATAACTCTGCCACAGAATCACCACATGGAGACAATCATGGGGCGTTGGTGAATAACTCTGCCACAGAATCAAAACAGGGAGACAATCATGGGGCGTTGGGGAATAACTCTGCCACAGAATCACAACATGGAGACAATCATGGGGCGTTGGGGAATAACTCTGCCACAGAATCACTAATAGAGGCTATATTTCGCCGATGCATGAATTATTATTCACTGCAAACTTACTACATATATATACAGTGGAAGCATGCGGTCGAGCACGTCCTGATATGCGGTCACATTACTTCAACACCGACATTTCAATTACGCTCTGTTAAAGCCTGATTTAGATAGACAAAAACCTACCAGTTTCCTTGTAATTTTACAAAGTTGATGTTTTTGGTTGATAGCTGTGGTTAGATTATGTCAGCACTGAAAAGACGGCAGTGTGTTCTCTTGTTGTAGATGAACGTTGATCGACACAGCGACATGCTGCTTGACGCAGTGCATCTGATAACAGCGTATGTCGTGGTGCCTCAAAGGCCATGCTGATGTCAATGTGACCTACAGTTGTAAACCGGTTCTCCTGGTGGTACGCGCAGCTAGCTGGCCGCTTCTGTAGATGTCTGTTAGACAGGAGTGAGTGAGTGAGTTGGGTTTAACGCCGCTTTTAACATTATTCCAGTTATATCACGGCGTGTCAGCTTAATGTGGGAGGAAAGCCCGAAGTGATGCAGGTCTCAGACGTTTACCACATCGGTGAAACCCACGAGCACGGGTATGGTGCTGACAAACCTAGAAACATAATCGGGGCGAACCCACAATCATAGGTTTCTGGCGTGCCCAAGGGACGCAACTCTGCACAGCGAATCGCGGCACCTTAGACGATTGGGCCACCCGTGCCCCCGTTAGACAGGAGCCTAGTGTTTAGTCAGAGATTGATTAGTGAGTGAGTGAGTGAGTGTGTGCGTGCGTGCGTGCGTGCGTGCGTGCGTGCGTGCGTGTGTGTGTGTGTGTGTGTGTGTGTGTGTGTGTGTGTGTGTGTGTGTGTGTGTGTGTGTGTGTGTGTGTGTGTGTGTGTGTGTGTGTTACCATGACTACTTTTTCTCTCCTACTGAAGCTGATTAGCGATACATTTACCCTCATGACACTTCCTAAGACTGTTTACAACTGAACATGTTTGATGGGATGATAAATAGAATCTCCCCATTGTGTCTTTTGATATCAAGTTATCAACACGCAACTGTTATCGACTCGTGTTGATATATTTGATATCAAAGGACACTCGGTGCACGTCGCTATATAAGTGCAATAATCTTGGACGCGACGTTAAACCCCATTTCACCTCACCTCACCTCTCACACTGACAAGGATGACAAAACTATGGTAACTATGAAGTTTTTGTATATGTGTTTGTTTCTTCTGTTTGTTATTTAATGCTGCACTAAGCAGTGATTTAATTAACTAATCACAGAGTCTTACCACTCGAGCTTCTGAGTCGCCATACTGATTGTACAAGCAAAACCGCCTCCATGATTTAGTGAATAGAGCGCCAGCCTTGGGCATTAAGGTCATCATACACGGACTGGTCGGCTCGGAGTCAGTACGCAGCAGTATTTACTATGGAATACTGTAAGGGACATTCTCGCGATCTCGCATTCTCGCGATCTCGACCTTTGAAAACGGGCTAAATATGCCCAAAACACGAGAAAGCGAGAACGCGAGATTTGGCCAAAATCTCGTGTTTTGGGTACATAACACTTTTTGTCAAAAGTCGACAACGCGAGAATGCGACATTTGGACATGATGCAAAATCTCGCAATCTCGCAATCTCGCAATCTCGACTTGTCAAATTAGACCACAAAAACACGAAATCGCGAGAACGCGAGAATGCGACAGGAGCGGTCGGGTAGCCTAGTGGTTAAAGCGTTCGCTCGTCACGCCGAAGACCCGGGTTCGATTCCCGACATGGGTACAATGTGTGAAGCCCATTTCTGGTGTCCCCCGCCGTGATATTGCTGGAATATTGCTAAAAGCGGCGTAAAACCAAACTCACTCACTCACTCACGAGAATGCGACATTTCATTTTCTCGCGATCTCGCGTTTTAGACGCTGTCCGTGCGCATGCGTAATATCATAGGTCAAGGCGCTTGCGCACGTTTGTAGTCCTTTGATCATGCTTCTTTCATGCTCTTCATTCTCCAAGTAGCATTTAGCAAAATTATGACTTCAGCTTGAAAATGCTATGTAATTTACAAACACAAAGTCCCATGTAGAATAGAGTAGAGTCCTCTCCCGTTGTGACACTTTCCTATGTACTCTAGATTAAAACCCTCAACATGCTCAATATAATTTAACAAAAGAAATTGTCTACATGAATGTCCAATAATAAGTGAAAACATGAATGAGTCCGAAAGCTGGAAACAAAAGTATTACAGTCCGTGAGTGAGTGAGTAATATTGCTTAAAAGCGCATCAACAGTATTGCAGCTATTTGCGGCTACACTGACAGTTACAGAAATAACCACAGGCCAGTGAGTTTCTTAATGAGGCAATTTTGTACACGGCTAGAATATTCAGTAAAATATAATTCTCACAGACCAATGTGTAGCATTCGACTAAAATGATATTGTCCGATGTTTTTTTATGCGATATACACTAACCGATTCTGGGAAAAAGTAGGAAAACTTAATTTTGCAATATAATTTTGCTGTAGGCCAGCAGAAGTTGACAACTTCAAAAGAATTCTGACTGAACTATGGTTCAACTCACTCACTCACTCACCCACTAACTCACTCATGTGTTTCACAAAATGGCATACCTCTAAGGCCTGCATCACTTTGGGCTTTCCTGCCACATTAAGCTGACGCGCCGTAATAAAACTTGAATACAGTAAAAAGCGTCACTTAACCCAACTCACTCACTCACTCACTCACTCACTCACTCACTCACTCACTCACTCACTCACTCACTCACTCACTCACTCACTCACTCACTCACACACTCACTCACTCACTCACTCACTCACTTACTATCTAACTCACTCATTATCTCACTCTCTATCTCACTCACCCACTATCTCACTCACTAACTCACTATCTCACTCACCCACTATCTCACTCACTAACTCACTAACCCACTATCTCACTCACTAACTCACTATCTCACTCTCCCACTATCTCACTCACTATCTCACTCACCCACTATCTCACCCACTGTCTCACTCACTCACTCACGCACGCCTGACAAACCTAGAAACATTTTCAGGGTGATCAAGGATTCGAACCGACAATCATAGGTTCCTGGTCCGCCTGAAGGACGCGAGCCAATTGTGGCGCCTTACATGACTGGGCCACCCGTTGACACTCTGTGACGTAACTGAAATACTTGGCTTTAAACCAAACCGACTCACTGACACACCCACTGTCTATTTATAAGACCACTTTAACACGGGCGAATCCATGATTGCTGCCTTGTTGGAACATTTGAATACAAATTGCCGTGTCAACCTGACAACGTTGTGGTATTTGACACTATGCTATAGCTGTTTTTGTTAGTTATGTTCGAGTCGCGTAAGTTTCCATTGTGTTGACACACAACCAGTTGTCATTGAATACAGAACCCATGCAGCTCAAGCAATAAGCAATGCTGTCATGACGTACATGAGACTATTGGACCGGCAATGAATCATGACTCCCCTGAAGAGATAGACACGACGTACATGAGACTATTGGACCGGCAGTGAATCATGACTCCCCTGAAGAGATAGACATGATTGTCTCCCTGTTGTGATTCTGTTGCAGAGTTAATCCCCAACGCCCCACGATTGTCTCCCTGTTGTGATTCTTTTGCAGAGTTATTCCCCAACGCCCCATGATTGTCTCCCTGTTGTGATTCTGTGGCAGAGTTATTCCCCAACGCCCCACGATTGTCTCCCTGTTGTGATTCTGTGTCAGAGTTATTCCCCAACGCCCCATGATTGTCTCCCTGTTGTGATTCTGTGGCAGAGTTATTCCTCAACGCCCCACGATTGTCTCCCTGTTGTGATTCTGAGGCAGAGTTATTCCCCAACGCCCAATGATTGTCTCCCTGTTCTCATTCTGTGGAAGAGTTATTCCCCAACGCCCCATGATTGTCTCCTTGTTGTGATTCTGTGGCAGAGTTATTCCCGAACGCCCCATGATTGTCTCCCTGTTGTGATTCTGTGTCAGAGTTATTCACCAACGCCCCATGATTGTCTCCCTGTTGTGATTCTGTGGCAGAGTTATTCCCGAACGCCCCATGATTGTCTCCCTGTTGTGATTCTGTGGCAGAGTTATTCCCCAGCGCCCCATGATTGTCTCCATGTTGTGATTCTGTGGCAGAGTTATTCCCCAACGCCCTATGATTGTCTCCATGTCGTGATTCTGTGGAAGAGTTATTCCCCAACGCCCCATGATCGTCTCCTTGTGATTCTGAGGAAGAGTTATTCCCCAAAGCCCCATGATCGTGTCCCTGTTTTGATTTTGAGGCAGAGTTATTCTCCAACGCCCCATGATTGTCTCCCTGTTGTGATTCTGTGGCAGAGTTATTCCCCAACGCCCCACGATTGTCTCCCTGTTGTTATTCTGTGTCAGAGTTATTCCCCAACGCCCCACGATTCTCTCCCTGTTGTGATTCTGAGGGAGAGTTATTCCCCAACGCCCCATGATTGTCTCCATGTTGTGATTCTGTGTCAGAGTTATTCCCCAACGCCCCACGATTGTCTCCCTGTTCTCATTCTGTGGAAGAGTTATTCCCCAACGCCCCATGATCGTCTCCTTGTGATTCTGAGGAAGAGTTATTCCCCAAAGACCCATGATCGTGTCCCTGTTGTGATTTTGAGGCAGAGTTATTCCCCAACGCCCCATGATTGTCTCCATTTTGTGATTCTGTGGTAGAGTTATTCCCCAACGCCCCATGATTGTCTCCTTGTTGTGATTCTGTGGCAGAGTTATTCCCCAACGCCCCACGATCGTCTCCTTGTTTTGATTCTGTGTCAGAGTTATTCCCCAACGCCCCATGATCGTCTCCCTGTTTTGATTCTGAGGCAGAGTTATTCCCCAACTCCCCACGATTGTCTCCATGTTGTGATTCTGTGGCAGAGTTATTTCCCAACGCCCCATGATTGTCTCCCTGTTTTGATTCTGTGGTAGAGTTATTCCCCAACGCCCCATGATTGTCTTCATGTTGTGATTCTATGTCAGAGTTATTCCCCAACGCCCCATGATCGACTCCCTGTTTTGATTCTGAGGCAGAGTTATTCCCCAACGCCCCATGATTGTCTCCATGTTTTGATTCTATGACAGAGTTATTCCCCAACGCCCCATGATTGTCTCCTGGTAGGATTCTCAACATGGGGTTACACGATGGCGTCATACAGATGTCCTATTGTCGACATATCTTTATAAAGACCCATGCTATATGTTGTAAACAAACAAAGTAATTAGACTTTTGAAAAAATAAAGAAAGAAAGAGCCTGCCCAGAAAACAAAAAAAAATAATAAAAAATATCTGTCTTTTTATCAGTATCTTTCATCTCGAGAAAAATCCCATTTTATCTATATGTGTATTCAACAAAAACTGAAACGTCTTCGATTTTTTGTTGGTAAAAAATGTCAAAAGCTTTTTTCCAATTCCACACAAGCACGTCATATTCACTATTTACTCACCAACTTCTCACAGTTACGATGTTATGTGTTTCACCTTCTAGAGTTACAGTTGAAGATATGGACCATTTCCCTAAGTGCAGCATTTGCAAGCAACAGTTTTGCTACCAAGGACCACCTCCCTGGTTGCTGCCATGTCTACATGCTGTATGCAAGATCTGCCTTTCTGCTGCTGAGACAGGGACGTTGAAATGCTCGTCTTGTCACAAAGAATTTGATAAAGAAAAACACAAGTTCTCAGAGGACAAAGTCAGGGCAAGAGAGATCTTCAATCTGACTGTCCTTCATCGTCCATCCGAGTTGCAATGCACTAACAAACAAGATGGCGGACAGGCTGTCGTGTGGTGTAAACAGTGCGAGGCTCTCTTTTGTGAAAATTGTCAAGTGGCTCACAGTGATTTCAAAATCACAAAATGTCACACAGTTCAGACAATCGACCAAGTGGCACAAGATGGAGTCTCCATAGAAGCCAAGGATGCTGTTTGCTCCACACACCGAAGGCATGTTGACTTCTATGATGCGACATGTGGAGTTCTGATATGTTTGAGGTGTACACGTGACGATCATGCTGGTCATGATGTTCAAGAAGTCGACGAAGCATTTCAATCCAAGCAACTTGAAATGAAAAACAAACACAATCAACTGTTGATCCATCAAGAATCCTTAAATGAATCGATTCTACAGATGAAGAGCATTGAAGAAAAGGTTGATAAGAAATGTCGTTCCCTGCAAACGTTGAAAGATCACACAATGTCTGAACTGAAGTCTCTTGTCGACCAGAGAGAGAAGGAACTTGACCTTGACCTGAGCACCTGCTTTGAGCACATCAGAGATGGAGCCAGGGAGAAGCAGCAGGAACTGGAGACGTCCCAGATGTCCCTGAACACCCCCCTGGACTACATAGAGAAGGCCTTGACCTTGACACCAGTAGAGTACCTGGAGCTCCAGGCCACCATGATGCAGAGCGTGGACTCCTGTCTCTCTGAGCACGTGTCTGCCATGAAGCAGCAGGAAGCAGCAGAAGGTGTTGCGTTCTCCAGACAGGGTCTCCAGAGTCTCAAGGCTGACATTGCCTCCTTTGGATGCTTCCTTACATCACCGGACCAGGAATCCCAGGCCAACCAGCAACAGGATAATCAAGGTAAATCTTGAGCCTGACCACCCGATCCCATTAGTCGCCTCTTAGACAAGCATAGTCACCTTTTGCGGCAAGTATGGCAATGCTGAAGACCTATTCTAACCCGGATCTTTACGGGTCTCTGACCTTTATTGTACGGTATCAGATCATCGCTATATCTGAAGCTCAGTAAAGTTAAGCTTGCCTTGTTTTGCTAATCCGAGCAGAAATTTCACATATTGTTTTCTCAATAATCTTCAGATGACATTTGCTTTCATTTGTGACAAATTGTCCTGAACTTCTGAAAATAGATATGTAGTTTTATCTATGGTCACCGCATTTAGTCACAAATGAACCAACAAATGAAGTTTTGTCTTACGTTTGTCATGTGGGATAGTAGTGTACAAAGTTGAAAACTCAAATGTTTTAACATAATTGAACTTTGCATGTGCATATATTTCGTATGTAGGTACATTTCTGCAGAACAAGTTTGAACATTTGCAGAGAAAGAACCATGAGCTTGAGATGGTGAGTGTAAAGGAATCAAAATACCTTCCCCAGCTAGAAAGAAGAAATTATTAGCCACTTGCCATCAAGGTGGAAGAGATTATGTTTCATGATTTGTGTTGTTACAAGCAGTTTCATTTATGAAGTTTTAAAATGTCGGGTGTTCATCAAAGATCTCGAATGATGAGCTGCTCTATCTTACCAACGAGTGAAAATATCTTCTTTTCCCCGTCACGATATGATGGAAACGTGATATTTCACGAGACATGAAATATCATTCCCATTTATTATATACCTTTTGTGTAGTTGTCTGCCGGGCATTTAAATTATTTCATTAAAAACGTAAAATCGTGAAACATAAATTCGCCCTACCTAAAACACAGGGACGCGCACGGTTCACCTCCCCTTGCGTTTGCAACTTTCGGGTTTGCAAAATTTTAAACAATATAAACAAAGTACAAAAATATATTTAGGGTCACAAACATTCTTTATCATACATTTAGATATGATTACATACAAAATCAACTTTAACAAAAAAATATTCTTGAAAACTACGAGACCGCTGTTCTCAAGTAACAAAAATGGCACTTTGCAAAATGAACTGTCTGGAGTGACGAGTTAAATGAGAAAATTACAGTTAATAACGAAACAATCTCGAGAGATTAACAAACAGCAAGAAGTGATATTAACTTAATAAATGACCATCTGTCATTATTTTGCCTTGTCAATGTGGAACTAACGTAAAACGGACGTCAACAGTTTGTGTATGGGCCAGACACTTACGATAAAGGGAGACAATTTAAGGAGGGGTAACTCGTGTATGACATTAATTCCGTCAAAGTGTGGCAGGGTTATTCCCCAACGCCCCATGATTGTCTCCCTTTTGTGATTCTGTGTCAGAGTTATTCCCAAACGCCCCATGATTGTCTCCCTGTGTTATGTTCAATGTAGTGAAATATCACGTCTTATGTTCACTGTAGTGAAATATCAGGCGTTATTTTCACTGCAGTGAAATATCAAGTGTTATGTTCACAGCGGTGAAATATCAAGTGTTATGTTCACTACAGTGAAATATCAAGTGTTATGTTCACTGCAGTGAAATATTACGTGTTATGTTCACTGTAGTGAAACATTATGTGTTATGTTCATTGTAGTGAAATATCAAGTGTTATGTTCACAGCGGTGAAATATCAAGTGTTATGTTCACTGCAGTGAAATATTAAGTGTTATGTTCACTGTAGTGAAACATTATGTGTTATGTTCATTGTAGTGAAATATCAAGTGTTATGTTCACTGCAGTGAAATATCAAGTGTTATGTTCACTGTAGAGAAATATCAAGTGTTATGTTCTCAGCACTGAAATTTCAAGTGTTATGTTCACTGTAGAGAAATATCAAGTGTTATGTTCACTGCGGTGAAATATCAAGCGTTATCTTCACTGCAGTGAAATATTAAGTGTTATGTTCACTGTAGTGAAATATCACATGTAATGTTCACTGCAGTGAAATATTAAGTGTTATGTTCACTGAAGTGAAATATCAAGTGTTATGTTCACCGCAGTGAAATATTAAGTGTTATGTTCACTGAAGTGAAATATCAAGTGTTATGTTCACTGTAGTGAAATATCAAGTGTTATGTTCACTGTAGTGAAATATCAAGTATTATGTTCACTGCGGTGAAATATCAAGTGTTATGTTCACTGTAGTGAAATATCAAGCGTTATGTTCACTGCGGTGAAATATCAAGTGTTATGTTCACTGTAGTGAAATATCAAGTGTTATGTTCACTGTAGTGAAATATCAAGTGTTATGTTCACTATAGAGAAATATCAAGTGTTATGTTCACTGCAGTGAAATATCAAGTGTTATGTTCACTGCGGTGAAATATCAAGTGTTATGTTCACTGTAGTGAAATATCAAGCGTTATGTATACTGCAGTGAAATATCAAGTATTATATTCACTGTAGTGAAATATCAAGTGTAATGTTCACTATAGTTAAATATCAAGTATTATGTTCATTGTAGTGAAATATCAAGTGTTATGTTCACTGTAGAGAAATATCAAGTGTTATGTTCACTGTAGAGAAATGTCAAGTGTTATGTTCACTGTAGAGAAATATCAAGTGTTATGTTCACTGCAGTAAAATATCAAGAGTTATGTTCACTGTAGAGAAATATCAAGTGTTATGTTCACTGCAGTGAAATATCAAGTGTTATGTTCACTGTAGAGAAATATCAAGTGTTATGTTCACTGCAGTGAAATATCAAGTGTTATGTTCACTGTAGAGAAATATCAAGTATTATGTTCACTGTAGTGAAATATCAAGTGTTATGTTCACTGCAGTAAAATATCAAGTGTTATGTTCACTGTAGTGAAATATCACGTGTAATGTTCACTGCAGTGAAATATTAAGTGTTATGTTCACTGTAGAGAAATATCAAGTATTATGTTCACTGTAGTGAAATATCAAGTGTTATGTTCACTGCAGTAAAATATCAAGTGTTATGTTCACTGTAGAGAAATATCAAGTATTATGTTCACTGCAGTGAAATATCAAGTGTTATGTTCAATGTAGAGAAATATCAAGTATTATGTTCATTGTAGTGCAATATCAAGCGTTATGTTCACTGAAGTGAAATATTAAGTGTTATGTTCACTGTAGTGAAATATCACGTGTAATGTTCACTGCAGTGAAATATTAAGTGTCATGTTCACTGTAGTGAAATATCAAGTGTTATGTTCACTGTAATGAAATATCAAGTGTTATGTTCACTGTAGTGAAATATCAAGTGTTATGTTCACTGTAGAGAAATATCAAGTATTATGTTCATTGTAGTGCAATATCAAGCGTTATGTTCACTGAAGTGAAATATTAAGTGTTATGTTCACTGTAGTGAAATATCACGTGTAATGTTCACTGCAGTGAAATATTAAGTGTTATGTTCACTGTAGTGAAATATCAAGTGTTATGTTCACTGTAATGAAATATCAAGTGTTATGTTCACTGTAGTGAAATATCAAGTATTATGTTCTCAGCAGTAAAATATCAAGTGTTATGTTCACTATAGTGAAATATCAAGTGTTATGTTCACTGTAGAGAAATATCAAGTATATTGTTCACTGCAGTGAAATATCAAGCGTCATGTTCACTGCAGTGAAATATCAAGTGTTATGTTCACTATAGTGAAATATCATGTGTCATGTTGGCTGTACATAGTTAAATATCAAGTGTCATGTTCACTGTAGTGAAATATCAAGTGTTATGTTCACTGTAGGGAAATATCAAGTATAATGTTCATTGTAGTGAAATATCAAGCGTCATGTTCACTGAAGTGAAATATTAAGTGTTATGTTCATTGTAGTGAAATATCAAGCGTTATGTTCTCAGCAGTGAAATATCAAGTGTTATGTTCACTGTAGAGAAATATCAAGCGTTATGTTCACTGCAGTGAAATATCAAGTCTAATGTTCACTGCAGTGGAATATCAAGCGTTATGTTCACTGCAGTGAAATATCAAGCGTTATGTTCACTGAAGTGAAATATCAAGCGTTATGGTCACTGTCGTGAAATATCAAGCGTTATGTTCACTGCAGTGAAATATCAAGCGTTATGGTCACTGTAGTGAAATATCAAGCGTTATGTTCACTGTAGTGAAATATCAAGTGTTATGTTCACTGCAGTGAAATATCAAGTGTTCTCTTCACTGCAGTGAAATATCAAGCGTTATGTTTACTGAAGTGAAATATCAAGCGTTATGGTCACTGTAGTGAAATATCAAGCGTTATGTTCACTGCAGTGAAATATCAAGTGTTCTCTTCACTGCAGTGAAATATCAAGTGTTATCACTTGTCTCAATTTCAGAAAACAGTCTTTCACACTGAAGTATATTATAATTTATTTTATTTCTCATTTTCACAGACACAGAAAATGTTGAAAGAAAAGCTAACGACTGGGGAGGAAGAGAAAGGTAATGGAGAACAAATGTAATATACTTATTCCAGGTTGTTAGTTTCACAAACACCTGTCACATCTCGCCCTCAAACATGTGTTGTCAGAGTATAAAATGTCAAGAAAGTTTGAACTATCAACAAATCATGAATTGTCTTAGACATTGTTGAAATATATACCTGCCAAAATACATGAGTTGAGAAACTTTCGATTTTTCACAAATTTTGTCATTTTGTGAGGACACATTTTATTATTATTTTATTTTAGATAGGGCATGAAACAGAAATAAAATATACGGAGTTTGCGATTGTCTGGGACGTACTTTGGTTATATTTCAGACCTAGCACATAAACAGCTTCAGGCGAACAGTGATGTAAGTATCTGTAACACTCGTCCTTGGATGGGCGTGTTACGATAACAGTAACAGCGTCAGATAACGACCTCCCTGCCACTGTTAATTTACACTTTAAGACGAATGAAGGAAGGAACGAACGTTTGAACACAAACAAATTTAAAAAAAATCATTTTATGGTTGTTGTTTCCATAATGACTTAATCCCATCCTAATTGTTGTTGTGTGTTTAGACGATAACATCTCTGGAGAGGGAGCTGAAAACACAACAAACAGCAATAGACACATTTAAGGAGCAGGCAGAGAAAATAGGTTGGTATGGTTTGTTAAAGTCACTATTCTTAAAGAGGAATGTTCGTTCTTGTCTTGGTGTGGACGAAGAGAGCAGGTGGTTTTATAAACAGTGTATTGTCTAGATATGTTCCTAACGACTGTTAAACTATTGTAATCATTACGATAGAATGTGTCCATGTGTATATGTGTGTAAAATATATTAAAAATTAATAATAATTGAATATATTGTAATATGAATTATATAGTTATGGTTTTAATCAGTATAAAGTAATATGTTGCCCTGTCTCTACGTGCATGAATTTAGTTCCCCCCCCCCCCCCAGATCGCGAATAGCGGCAGGGAAGCCATGCTTTGAAAGTGTTACGAACATTCAGGGACAATAACATTGGTTGGTTGGTTGATGTGTTGTTTAATCCAGTGATTAATATTATGAACATCGATCCGCGCAATTGCTTGGTTTGTTGGTTTGTTGTTTAACGCAGCACTCAGCAATATTCCAGCTATATGACGGCGGTCTGTAAATAATCGTGTCTGGAACAGACGTTCCAATGATTGATTTCATGAGCATCAATCCACGCAATTGGGATCGATGACATGTATCAACCAAACCAGCGAGCCTGACCACCCGATCCCGTTAGTCGCCTCTTACGACAAGCATAGTCACCTTTTACGGCAAGCATGGGTTGCTGAAGACTATTCTACCCCCAAAATACATGAGTTCAGAAACTTTCGATATTTCACAAATTTTGTCATTTTGGGTGGACACATGTTATCATTATTTTATTTTAGATAGGGCATGAAAGAGAAAAAAAATATACGGAGTTTGCGATTGTCTTGGACATACTTTGGTTATATTTCAGACCTAGCACAGAAACAGCTTCAGGCGAGAAGTGATGTAAGTATCTGTAACACTCGTCCTTGAACAGGCGTGTTGACGGCTCAACAATAACCAGTATACGATAACAGTAACAGCGTCAGATATAGTCCTACATGTCACTGATAATTTACACTTTAAGACGAATGAAGGAACGAACGAGCGAGCGAGCAAACGAACGAACAAACTTTTAAAAACCTCAATTCGTTCATGGACATTTTACGGTTGTTGTTTCCATCAACACATGCTAATTGTTGTTGTGTGTTTAGACGATAACAATTCTGGAGAAGGAAGTGAAAACACAACAAAGAACAATATACACATTTAAGGAGCTGGCAGAAAGCATAGGTTGGTATGGTTTGTTAAAGTCACTATTCTTAAAGAGGAATGTTTGTTATCGTCTTGGTTTGGACGAAGAGAGCAGGTGGCTGTGTAACAGTGTATTGTCTAGATCTGTTCCTAACGACTGTTAAACTATTGTAATCATTACAATAGAATGTGTCCATGTGTTTATGTGTGAAGTGAGTGAGTGATTATGGATTTACGCCGCTTTTAGCAATATTCCAGCAATATCACGGCTCATTGTACCTATGTCGGGAATCGAACCCGGGTCTTTGGCGTGACGGGCGAACGCTGTAACCAGTAGGCCATCCGGCCATCCCGTTTATGTGTGTAAAATATATTAATAATTGATAATAATGGAATATATTGTAATGCGAATTGTATAGTTATTGTCACAATCAATGTGGACGCTATATCACTCCTGTATTATTTAACAGTAGATAACGACATGTTCCAGGTGTGAGGCTGACCAGTGACCTGACCTTAGTCAGTAGTCAGTATACAACCGGCGTGCCTGTCAAACTCAACTGTAAGTATACAACGAATATCACAGCATATATAAGACGTCAACGCCAGAGAATAACCAGTCTCGATTTTCTACCATCATAGATTCCATGGAGGGTTGAAGGCAAAATAGCAATGAAAATTATATAAATGGTTTACTGACAATCAGTGATAACACCAGGTGTTCGCCGAAAGGGTAAGCATGACCCGAACACCCGCGAACCCCCTCATGCACTTTCCAAAAAATAGATATTTGTTTGATGTCTGACACTGCACAGCAGAACAAGTTGAAAGATCAATTGTTTCACAAAATTGAACTTGGTTCTTTTCTGAGATTCCAAAATATCAAGCAAATCCTTTGGGTTTTTGAGAATCCACATGGTATTAAGAGAGATTTTATGGATGTCAACTTCTTTATTCTGAGGAACACAATGTTTCGGCCTATATGCTTACTCCTTCATGTGGAGGACGGAGAGGGATGTTCCCATTCAATCACATGGTATTAATTCAACGTGTCTCAAATGCACTGTTAATATAAGGAAGTGAATATAAAGCTTGAGTGTATAAAAGGATTATGGTTAATCGTTGAGACAGGGATTTGGTGATAAATTTGCTGAACCCAGCATATAGCTCTCTTTGTACGGTGGATGCTATTGAGGGAGCTTAGGGTGAAATCCCAGACAAAAGAGGAATGGACATGTCTTCAGGTTTCAGAGTTATGTCGAAACTTGGAAGTACTGATGCGTGGTTTTGGTATATGTTTTCCTCAGTTAACACTGGCCCTCTATGTGACATTGTTTGATAAAAAGAAATTATGTTGAGATGCTGATATATATCGGCTTTGTTATTTGATGCCTTGTCAGGGGGAACAGTGACAAACCTTTCACGAAGGGCTGCCAATCAATGGATGACATCTGGCTGAGACAAAATGGGTTTATTCCAACCCTGTTTCCTCTTTGTCAGTTTGTGCACAAACCCCTTCTGTAATATTTGAACTTCATTTGGGCGAGACAATGAGTGACAGTCGGGCAAATGATTGCTGCAACCTGTCAGTTTCAACTCTAATTTTAATTAATATTTACAGTACTTAATAAAGAATTAATTCAAATCTCTTATCTGTAGCTAACATGTTTTGACATAAAAGACACTTAAAAGTAGTTACATGTTTGTCCTTTGAAGAAAAGCGATAATATAGGAGCCAGGAGTGTTGTATATCTTGTAATCCTGACTATTGCCAAAGATTTAGGAATATAAACATGTATTTGTTTCAACACAGTTATAACCATTACTCTTAGGCGAATCTGTTTACTCATGAATATTTTTATGGCTGATTCCAAAGTACTTTTTTCCTCAAATTATTATATATTTCATTTCGTTCTCAACTGTTGTGCTATGGCCTACGAATCCATCTTTTGTATGTATTGTACATGTCACAACGGAAGTTATGTATCTCAAACACCACAGTAGCAATCACAGCTATTTGCAGTTAGGTAAATTTGTCTTTTAATAGGTCCACCACTCAAGTTTGATGTCGAGCGGGCAAACTTCAGTGTGGTTGAAGTCACTGAGAGACACATGGTCAACCACCCTGCTCGCAACCCGCCATCCACCACGAGGAAGTTTAACAAGTACAGCGGAACTTGCGGCTCCATGACCCTTCCTTACACGCTGTCCTCTGCACACGTCACTACTTCCGGGTCCTTCCAAAGTCAAGGTCAACTTGTTCCCTCATATTCCCACGTGTCTTCTGACCCCACAGATCCGTACTACTTTCAGGCTCATGCTAAGATAACACAAACAGCAGCAATAATAGAAACACCTATATTTGAAATTGTATTGATTGAGCCATCTAACGCTGACAGAGGAGAACTTATATGTGATTTTGTATGTGATTATGCTAGATGTGGAGTAAAAGTCGGCAACTGTAACACTCACAAGACAATATGCACAAAACGTAGTAAATATTTTGACTGTTTTGATCAGCCATTGGCCAACAAGCCAGGATTGTCGATGCTGACGTATGGCGTCGTGTATGATGCAGTGAGTGGGAAAGTGGCATTCATTGATGTCAACAAGGAGAAGATACTAGGATCAGAGTCCGTCAAGGGTGCCCAACTTCTCCCCATGTTTGGCGTCAAGCAGAGTGAGGAGTTTACAGTGGAGATGACCTTGATGGAGGTGAAGGACAAGGACATCAGTGCAAGGTTACGTGGTGTCATTCAACGAGCTCTCAAATGAACACACAAGTAACCTAACCTGCCTATGAAAACACATCGACTGACCAATCCGAGTATCCGAAGTGGTGTCACTTAACAAGCTGTCATGGGATAAAACAACAGTATTTACACAACTAAGTCATGACATGTAAAATTGAAAAACATTTCATCACCTGCCTTGGCGGGAAAACAGTGAGATACACAGCTTATGTGAAGTTGCAGGTCCGAGTCCCGTCATCCATAATGAAAGGGTTTCATTTCTTGTCTTCATTTATAGAACATTGAAAGTCAAAATTTCATCTGCTACTCAGCTCATAAGGTCTTTCTTCTAAAGGTAAAGCCTCATACAAGGTCTTACTAGGAAAAAGTTTAAACAAACTGAGGTTATTACGAGATAGGAAGATGCCTACAATAGCAAGCCTACACCTGTAAATAAAAAATAAGCTAATTGTCCTTCTATTTACACCTTTAGCAATGTATTTATGCCATAAAGGTTTTCTTACCATTGTATAACTTGTATAAACCGGAGAAAATAAAGAATATCTGTATCTTGACCAAGGATTTTCGTCAAAACCAATGTGTTCCACACACCAGATGGCTGTCCTTGACCTTGAAGTCTTCATGTCACACTCTCGTTCTATGACACGTGTTTCTATGTTCTTATTGATTGACATGGTCGAGGCGAGTCCTTCACAAACTGGTAGGTATAATTATTCCCGGATTAATTGGAATTACCCATACAGTAGAACATGGATATAACGAACCACAAGGGATCAGAGAAATCAGTTCGTTATATCCGGTGTTCATTGTATATGTTTTCGCTCGGAAACGTCTGCCATCACGAATCCAATCAGTGAATATTTCACCTGTCATCTAAGCTTTTGTGTTGGTAGGGTAGGCATGCTTCTCACATTCTTAAAACACTGAGGTTTCTGAGATTTTCCAAAGACAAGCATCTTAAGTTTATTGTAAGTTATTCTGTCAAATTCCACTGCAATGTCTTTCTTGGTTTTTATGCCGACATGGGTACAATGTGTGAAGCCAATTTCTAGTGTCCCCCGCCGTGATATTGCTGGACTATT